GTAAGATGACACTTTTCTTTAAGCCTCAAAGAACTCAATAAAACAAAATATATTTAAAAAAATGTTTAACCAAATGGCAAGAAGGTTAAAAAAAAGGATTAAATGATTTGTTGTGTTAATTTTTATATCCTGCTGGTTCACATGAAGGGGTGGGCTTTAAACACTATACTGGAAGCAGCCACCAGGGGGAAATGCTGCTGCAGCTTCAACTTCCTGCTTCTGGTTTTGTCTCTAGCTTTAATACAGGTGCTGGTCATAAAATTAGAATATCATGAAAAAGTTGATTTCAGTAATTCCGTTCAAAATGTGAAACTTGTTTATTATATTAATTCATTACACACAGACTGATCTATTTCAAATGTTTTTTTCTATTAACGTTGATTATAACTGACAACTAATGAAAACTTCAAATTCAGTATCTCATAAAATTAGAATATTAATTAAGACTAATAACAAAAATGATTTTTAGAAATGTTGGTCAACTGAAAAGTATGAGCATGAAAAGTATGAGCATGTACAGCACTCAAAACTTAGTTGGGGCTCCTTTTACCTGGATTACTGCAGCCGTGTGGTGTGACATGGAGTCGATCAGTCTGTGTCTCTGCTCAGGTGTTATGAGAGCCCAGGTTGCTCTGATAGTGGCCTTCAGCTCTTCTGAATTGTTGGGTCTGGTGGATCACATCTTCCTCTTCACAATTCCCCATAGATTTTTCTACGAGGTTAAGGTCAGGCGAGTTTGCTGCCAATTAAGAACAGGGATACCATGGTCCTTAAACCAGGTACTGGTAGCTTTGGCACTGTGTGCAGGTGCCAAGTCCTGTTGTAAAAATGAAATCTGCATCTCCATAAAGTTGGTCAGCAGCAGGAAGCATGACGTTCTCTAAAACTTCCTGGTAGACGGCTGCGTTGACCTTGGACCTCAGAAAACACAGTGGACCAACACCAGCAGATGACAAGAAACCCCAAACCATCACTGACTGTGGAAAATTGACACTGGACCTCAAGCAACATGGATTATGTGCCTCTCCTCTCTTCCTCCAGACTCTGGGACCTTGATTTCCAAAGGAAGTGCAAAATTTACTTTCATCAGAGAACATAACTTTGGACCACTCAGCAGCAGTCCCAAGCAAGATGCTTCTGACACGGTCTCTTGTTCAAGAGTGGAATGCGACAGCTGAAACCCATGTCTTGCATATGTCTGAGCGTGGTGGTTCTTGAAGCACTGACTCCAGCTTCAGTCCACTTTTTGTGAGTCTCCCCCACATTTTGGAAATGGTTTTGTTTCACAATCTTCTCCAGGGTGCGGTTATCCCTATTGTTGCTTGTACACTTTTTCTACCACATTGTTTCCTTCCCTTTGCCTCTCTATTAGTGTGCTTAGTTGGACACAGAGCTCTGTGAACAGCCAGCCTCTTTAGCAATGACCTTTTGTGTCTTGACCTCCTTGTGCAAGGTGTCAATGTTCGTCTTTTGGACAACTGTCAAGTCAGCAGTCCTCCCCATGATTGTGTATTCAGAACTAGACTGAGACCATTTAAAGGCCTTTGCAGGTGTTTTGAGTTAATTAGCTGATTAGAGTGTGGCACCAGGTCTCTTCAATTCACAATATTCTAATTTTCTGAAAAACTGAATTTGGGGTTTTAATTAGCTTTCAGTTATAATCATCAACAGTAAAAAAAAAAAAAAAACATTTGAAATATATCAGTCTGTGTGTAATGAATGAATAAAATATACAAGTTTCACTTTTTAAATGGAATTACTGAAATAAATAAACTTTTTCACAATATTCTAATTTTAAGACCAGCACCTGTGAACTGTATCTGGATGGAAGGAAAGAAATCTGACTCAAAAATAAAACGATGATATTTTCAGACTGAACACAAACGGGCCACATGTCCCTCGCTGGACAGACACGTGTGAGTAAAATGTCCCATGCTAGACAGATATACATGAGTCAAATGTCCCACGCTGTACAGACATGTGGGTCAAAATTCCCTTGCTGGACAGACACATGGGTCAAATGTCCCTTGCTGGGCAGGCACATGTGGGTCAAATACCCCTTGCTGGAAATACACATCTATCAAACGTCCCGCGCTGGATAGACAGACACGTGTGGGTCAAATGTCCCTCGTTGGACAGACAAAGATGGGTCAAATGTCCCACACTGGACTGACACACATGGATTAAATGTCCCACACTGGACAGATGTGTGGGTCGAATGTCCTTTGCTGGACTTACACATTTGGGTCAAATGTCCCTTGTTGGAAATAAATATCTGTCAAATGTCCTGCGCTGGATAGACAGACAAGTGTGGGTCAAATATCAATTGCTGGACAGACACACATGGATCAAATGTCTCGCGTTGGACAGACACAGATGGGTCAAATGTCCCACACTGGAAGAGGATGCAAATTAAAAACCTTTCATGAGACGTGTTGAGATGAGTTCAGGTGGACCTGCTCTTCATGCAGGTCCAGGGACAGATATGGACACATCCTGGTCCACCTCCTAGCCCCCGCATCCTGCTGCTGTCCCTTAGCAACACACCGGACAAGTCCATAGGACAGACCGAGACAGGAACAGAGACAGGAGGGGAAGACAGGGGGAGGAGCAACGTGTCCAATAAATCCTGAGGACAGGGACAAAGACAGGATATCTACACAGTTTACCCTGAAATGTGCTAAATTCTGCCTTTTATGAAACCTTTGCCACTGAAAGTCCTGCTCTGACGGAACCGAACCCACTGAGCTGAATCACTGCAAGGCAAACACCTGAACCCAGATCCTCCCGAACCGAACCGAACCTCAGGGCCTCCAGCAGCTGATGCTGAGGAGGAGGAGGAGGATGCGCCTCTTCATCAGTACTAGCTTCATCTCGGCCCAACAATCCGGACCGGACCGGAACAGAAACGCTTTGATTCTCACCTCTCGGTACCGGTTCGGTGGATCCGATCCTCCCCGTCAGAGCCGCGGAGGGTCCAGGCTCGGAGCTCGTGCAGCCCTCACGTTGTCTGAATACAAATGCGAGCGTGTTTCTGAGCGCACGCGCACAGATTCACGCGCGGCTCTGAATAAAGGAGGAGAATAAAACCCGTGTTCTGAGCTGTCAGATGTCCGACACAAGAGCAGGACCATGAAGTACTCCTCAGTACCAGGAGGAAAGAGACGGAACCCACTGTTTCCGGTTTTACCCTTTCACAATACACCTAGACATCTCCAAAATGTAAAATAAAGTATTTTATTTTATTTAAAATTTGAATAAAAATGTATTTTCACTTATTTAAATTTAATATTAAAATTTATGGATTTATTTATTTTATTTCAGTAAAGGTATTTATCATGTTTTGAGTTTTGACTGTGAATGTTAGCAAAATGAACCAATGACAGATTATAATTACATTTTTAGAAAAATGTTCACGTGATGAAAATCTACAAATTAACCCAAATTTAGATGGCCCCAGCAGTTAATCTACATTAGAAAACACAAAGACAGTTCCTCTCCATCGGGTTTACAGATAAAATTTGATGTGGTAGTAGCTGAGAGTCATCTGCAGCACCTATGGAGTTATCTTGTGATCCATTAAGAAGATTTCAGTCAAAACTCAGTGGGTGATAAGCATTCCTGTGGTATGTGTGTGGATGGATGGATGGATGGATGGATGGATGGATGGATGGATGGATGG